TCTGGAAGTAAAAACTGCAAATTATATTTTAAAAAAAATCTTCACAGACTTTTCTATGGATTTTTACAAAACTTTCATTTACAGGAATACTTGAAAGTTTAAGGATAGTGAATGATCTGGTTCTGTTTTCAAGCTATAAATCATTTATCTTCAGTGGCATGGATACAAATTACAAAGTAGATGATCCCATTCATAGTCTATGTTAATAAGAAGGCAGGTGCTAGTCTGTCATATCACAGTGCTCAGAGTTTAGGGGAGAAATAGGAAATTAAGGCTCCCTGTTATGGCATTAGAGACATCTGGTAAAATCAGGAGAACATCAGTGGGCCTAATCTCCAATCCCATCTCATTCTACTGCACAGAGTTTTCCTCCCTCAAACCCATCCAGATAGGATGTAGCAAGCAGTGTCCACTTGTCCCTATTAGTGTGGTGGGTTTGCTTCCCTTCCAGATCACTATCTCAGTCATACAAGCCACCTATGTTCTCCATCTGTGGGAAACACCTTATTGAAACAGTCACTTCCTATAGCCCCCATTCACTCTGTTCCAAAATATAGCCCCCTCATAGGCTTATGTGGCATGCAAGGACCTGTCCCTGAGCTGTGACTGTACATGATTAGTAAATGACTCTTGATTGTGTTTGTCCTGTCTTAAGTGCTACAAGTTTAGTAGTTTCTTAATACTCTACATAAAAATGACTTTTTTTTCACACAGAGATTGAATCATAAGCTACCAAACAAGTAGCAAATGAGGAGAGAATTTAGATCCATGCTGGTACATAGTGTAGCTTTTGTTCACATGTGACATATGAAATGTGTTAAGTCAAAGCATTATTTTTATAGGGATCAAATGTCAACTAGATTATGAAGACCCAATATAAACACAGGAATATAAATATCTCAATATTTTTAATTGTTTGTCTGTTGATATATCTTGAAAGTATCATATATTTGTCATGGGAAAACATAGAAAATAATGTTTGATTTTTATAAATATAAAATATAAATGAATATAATTAAATGTTCTCATCGACATAAAAAAAAGCTTTCATTAGATGTTTAAAGTAGAGACTTGTAGAGAATTCACGGACCTTTCCTTGTACTTTTTAAGTGAAGATTGGTGGCATTAACTATTATATGTGCCTCCATGTGACATTTGCACACATGCCACCATTAAACTTCTCATTTGTTGATGAAATAGTAGGTGTAGATCTGATATTTGTGGCAATGTGTCTACTGGATTATGAGAGAATTAAGGAGAGTGATAGATAGAAGAGACAAAAGTTAGGCCATCAGTAAGGTAATCAAAAGATATCTGTAGGGAGGAGAAAGGCAGTTAGAACAGAGAAGCTGCGAGTGTTGCTCACCAGAGCAGGGCATACAGCAGCACAGCATCTTCTCCAGGATAATGATTAGGAAGCTACTTTCTCCTTTGACCATATATATATATATATATATATATATATATATATATATATATATATATATATATCATATATGTTTTATTATTAAGAGGAGTAGAAAATAGACATTCCTGTTTGTTGGAAGAGAAGAGAGCCATTATTAATTATATCTCATTTTTTATGACCAACACATTTCCACACAACTATTTCAGGCATTGTGCCTTTAGCCAAACATATTCTTACTGACAGGGTGTAATAACCTCATGAGTAATTATTTTATTGTCTCCAATTTACAGGAAAACAAAAACAAAAACACTGTGGCTCAAGGAAGTTCCACAAATCATCTAAGGCCACACAACTACTAAGAGGTAGGACTGGGATTAGCATGTCTATTTTGAAAAACCCATTCCCAATTCTGGGGTACAAACACTGGATGTTTGACATCCAGACAGGGTGTATGCAATTAGGAAGACAAGGGAAGGCAGAATCAAGTAGTACTTACAGCCTGGTTTCAAGAGACACATCACTCCAGTGTACACTTCAGTGACTGTACTAGCATCGGGGTGTATTCTGATGAGGACACAGCCATGGTCCTTTAGGGAAACAACTATTTTAACAATTTAATTTCAGTCAATGTAGAGTTTTCTTTCTGCTTATCCTATGTATTTCACTGGCAAATAAATAAATAAAAATAAATAATAAAAAACTCTATTTGTGAGACCAAAAACTCTTCAGGGTTTCTCAGACACAACACATTGACAGATATTTTCACATTTTGATGTGTGCATTAGTTTTCTTTCAGGGTTGAATTCCTAAAATTGATTTAGAAAAAAAATATATATGATATGAACAGACTATTAGACTAGATAGTCTTCTTTACGAAGCACTGGCCAGTGTAATTTTTGAGTCCCTCTTCCTTCTTCAGGCAAATAGCATTTTCTGCCAACCCCAGAAATAGAAGGCTTTAATAATATACATACATACATACATACATACATACATACATATCCTGTGTTTCCTGAAATTCAAAATAAATCAATCAATAAGTATAGAATACAGGTTAGTTTGTATTATTTAAAGCAGTAAGATTTAAAAAGCAGCACAATACTAAATGTAAGTTGAGTTTGCTATGATTTAGGCAAAAAACAAAAACAAACAAAGAATTTCTATAAGTTTTGTGCACGTGTGTGTGTGTTTTACACCGGTAATGTTATTCTTCATGCTTTTTAAATTATGTTCTGGTCATTGTTAAATAGAAACTAAATTTTATTTTAGAGGAATTTTCATAATATAACTTTTAGGAGTTAATATGTGAAACAAGTAAATATAATTTTTGCCTTTAACAAAATATAGTCGTTGACATCTAGGCTTGTAAGTCAGGCAAGCCCCCAAAGTCTGGGAAAACATGAAGACACCATGCCTGTATACTAAAGGGTATGAAAAAATATTCTAGTATTTAAATAAATGTATGTTGCATAAAAATGACGATGTAACATAAATTTGAGAGAATTACACTAACAAATTCCAAGAAAATAGTTCTGAAATGGGAAGAAATATTTAAAAGGAAAATATTATGAAAGCTGAGATTTCCTGATTACTATGGTACAGGGTCTCATTTTCTAGATTTCTTCAAAATTTTAAATGGTTTGTTAAATAATTAAATACAATTCCTTACTTCATTATCAAACATAGCAAGAAAAAATACACAATAATTGGAATAGCAAAGAAAGAAAGAGAATGGTTATATTTGGGTGATAATTTGCTTTTAGATACTAATGGGCAGCTCACTGATATGTATATGTTACTAAAAAGATGATAAAGACACAGAAAATTCATTGCATTGTTAAATGTGGTGATGAGTTGGAAGTTCTTGAATCATATCAATATTATTTGGTATGAAAGTACCCTTTTTGCACTCTATCACTATCATTTTAGTCCTCTTCAAAGTACAGAAAGTCAAGGAAATAATAATTAAAGCCGAGTGTAGTATGCACACTTGTAATCCCAGTGCTCCAGAGGGAAGGCAGTGGGATTGTACATTGGAAGGCAGGCCGGGCTACATAGTAATATCCTGTCTCACACAGAACAAAAGAAAGTGGCAGAAATGTTAGAGTATAAGTGGGAGGGAAATGGTGAATAAATTTTAATGGTCTAAATAAATAATCGTAATAATTATTTCACCCTTTTAAAGGGATGGAGCCATGCTCTTACATAAATAATAAGGGTGAGAACTTAGTCTCCACAGCTAAAATTGAAACCAGAAAATTATTGTGATTTTTTAGCAACAAAGGAGAAAAAGCTCACATTTTCTGATAAAGATCAAGTGCCTTTCGACAAGAGTACCAAGAAAAAACAGAAAATGAAAAACAAAAAAAACAAAAGAATGTTGTGAAATATAGATGACAAGTTGGATTTTCAATATGTGAAAAAGACATCCATGCTCTTTTAGAATAGCCAAATTTGATTTTTTTACCTAACCCATCTCCCCCACCAAAAAACAAAAACAAAACTTACTGTTTATTATAGTATTAATGAAAGACTAATTCTAAAACAATGGGGATGGTGGTATTTTTTAAAATTTTAGCAAAATTGTTCTGGAGAAGAAAGATTTATTTGTGGGCAATGTTCCCAAAGTTGCCTTGATTGACTGTTCTGGTGAAATTTTACCTTCATGTATCACTAAAATGATAAAGTTTTCATAGATCATCATGGCCAAATAGGATACCATTCCGGTTAACATGATTTTATATAATTTTCAAATACTGTAGGAACCTGTAGCTCAAAACAAAAATAGCACTTCTTGTCTTAAAATTAACTTGTAAGTTTTATTTCTATGAAACTGGGTTAGAGTATTAGTGATGTTCAAATAGGTAACTTTGGGGTTTTAGATATATCTTGAAGTAGACAGTAAAACGTTATTATAGTAGATATAGTGGCATATATGAAACGTCATGCTTTAAAGAGTTGGACATATTTCTTACATAGAGGGAACAATGCCTATTTAGACCTGCATTACAACTTGGTGTTCATTTCTGGTGAATGAAGTTTTGTTTCTTCTTATTTAGAATAGTGAACAAATATATATAAATACTACATCACTGCCAAGGTGGGAACCTTGGACATGTAGTATAGTAATGGGCCCATTTATAATGGCCATCGTCTATTGGAGTACTGCAGTTCAGAATCACACTCTTCTGCCTTACTGGAGCTCTCTAGAGATAATGCTGGAGTTTTCTGAGGATGGCATGCCCTTGTGATGACCCAGAACTTGAGATGAACATGGGCGCTCACTGCCCTACAAGGGGACGGTGGATCAACAGAACAGATGCATGATACATATAAACATTAGCCCTTAATTCAGACAGTGGGTTAGATCTGACTTCACTTATAGACACTGTAGCACTTATCTTTTCCTCAAAATTTTAATCGGTAATTTGCATATAGTCAGAACATTGGTCATGTGATGTCCTGAAAGCTGGTTAACAGATAAAGTGAGCTGCATGATGATCCCCAGAAAAGAAACTGGATAGTGCCACAAACCCCATATTTTGTTTCCAAAGCCTTGTGTAAGGATTAATTCTAATAAATGCCGGTGCGTGCATATGTTTTCATTTTATGGAAAACACTGAAGGGGATTTATTCACAGTCCTCTCTTGACAATCACAAGCGTATGAAAAGGATAAAGCCGTGCCGTTCGCCTTTTCTACTTAATGGTGACTCGGTGCCATGTCCTCTTCGCTGGTGCTATCTCACTTTCTGCAGTTCCTGTCTCAGCCAGGAGGGCAGAGGCTGCCCTAACCTGTGCAGCAGCTTCGAGAGTTCCACGTTGTGGTCCCGGTAGTAATTGGAGAGGAAGTTTCTGGACTGGAAACAAAAGGGAGACTTGAAGGACACTCTTAGCTCATCAGATTTTGGAAATACTATATCACAGTATATGTTGACAAACTGTTCGCCTACTATTTTTCCTTAATTGCTCATTTTACATTTTTAGAAATTATGACTAAAGCGTAGACCTAAAGCAAAGAGGTACAGGTGTGTCCTAGGAGAGTCAACTACCATTATGGCACTTAGACATTTGGAGATAAGAGAGTAAGCTGAAGCATAAAATCAGAGAAGGAGGAGGTGTTAATGCACAACCAAATACACATGAACGTGTAAGATAAAAATGAACAAATTTCCTTCAAAAATTACTTCCTACACTAAATATTTTAAAAGATTACCTGTCTGTAATGAGAAAAATTACTGATTATAAAAATATCTGGCCACAACATATATTTGAAAATTTTATTCAGGATATTTTTCTTTATAGAATTACAAAGCTAGGCTTCCTTGTAAAATTTTATAGATGCCTCATCTACCTGAAGAGTTTGGTCTCTTTTAAAGATTTTTTTTAAAGTTTTACCATGTTTTTAAAGATTTATTTTATATGCATATATGTGTGTTTCTGAGTGTGTTCAGGTTTCTGCAGAAGTTAGACTAGGACAGTGGATAGACTGTGGCTGTGCTGGAGTTGCAACTTTAATTTTAGACAATGAGCTAACATTCCAGTTCCCAGATAAATGAGTGAACACACACATACACATACACACACACACACACACATACACACACACACACACACACACACACACATACACACACACACACTTCCAGAAACAGAAAACTGTTAACTTGCTTTATTTCCCTACTAAATTCTCCAAACAACCACCAAATAAGATTATGTTGTTCTGTTTTATTTTCTGTCTCCCATAATCAAAATTTTCATGTGTAAATATTTAGTGATCAAACAAATTTTTCTATTGCATAGAAATGCTACCATCTCTCCTAAGCTTTTCTTAACATTTTAAACACAAATAAATTTTTTTCTTTATAAAACTCCCCTAGCAACTTTTGTGTATACTGTGGAAATGGATTTAGGACAATTACATTTCATCTTGGACCATTCGCCAAGCATTTCATTATGTTTCTTCCCTTAAAGCAGATGGTAAGCACTTCAAATGGGGAATAAGATGTTTACAGTAGTGGGAATGCTACATTGATGTTTTGGGCAGATTAAAGTGATTTCTGAAACCCTTCAGAAATTACTGAGTTCAAAACTATATTAAGGACTTTCTGGCACTATCACCATAGCAACACATGAAGAATGCAACCTGCCCTTGCTCACCTTGCCTTAGGAGAAATGCTCACAATCTCTGGCTGGTTTCCAGCCACCATCTCTGATCTAATGCATCTTTCCACATATTACGATTTCTATAACTTTTGTCTTTTTGTAGTTTAATTTATTATTATTATATGCCTCCTGTTATAATCTCATAGCCCTAACTAAATTATTCACCCTATAATGAATTTCAGTAGCCATTTTATTCTTATATTTTCTGCATAGCTTAGCTCAATATCAGGCATGTTTTTGACATCAGATGTATGTATGCTGGTTAGTTTTTGTCAATTGGTCCAAACCAGAGGCATCTCAGGAAGAACTTCAATTGATAAAGTGGCTGCATTCTATTGGCCTGAGGGCATGTCTATATGGCATTTCTTGACTTTTAATTGATGCAGGAGGTCCCAGCCAACTGTGGGAAGTGCCAGCCCTGAGCATGATGGCCAGGACTGTAGAAGAATGGTAGCTGAGCAAGCCAAGGGAAGCAAGCCAATAAACAGCATTCCTCTATGGTCTTTGCTTCAACTTCTGCCTTCAGGTTCCTACCTTGGCTTCTTTTAGTGTGGGAGTGTGACCTGGAAGTTATGATCTGAAATAAACCTTTTCTTCCTCAAAGTTGTTTTGTAGTTGTGATGTCTATCACAGAAATATAAAGCAAACTAGAACAGTATTCACTTTTTTTTTGCATAGTGGTATTTTTCTACCATTGTTTACCAAATAATTTATTTTTAAGTGCCTTACTATGTGGAAGGGAGTTACTTTTCAGAATATAATTGTGTCTGAGTTGAATTACAACAGGTAACAATTTCTATTGACGTATATCAGTTCTTTCTCTAACATCTTTAAAGTATATAAAAGTATAGATTACAAAGATAGATCAACAACAACAAAAAAATCAGATTTTTCTTCCTAGTTTTAAAACAGCAGTGTCTTTTTGCCAGAGTAATTCAAACCAAGCTAACATTACCTCTGGATCCATGGGTGGGTATTTTCGGCCTTTGCTCTTCCCAAGGCATTTGGTCTTTCCTCCTTCTAGTAGTTGACACCAAAAGCCCTTTTGGGGATCAAACCTAAAATATAAAAAACATATAATAATTGCAAATCATATTCAGTAAAGAGGCTTCCCAGTCAGATAAAAGAGCTACACTTTTGTATGCTTCTTACTTCAATTTAATTCATTTTTACAGGTGTTTAGCTGATTTGAGAAATGAAAATAGATATTAAAATTTCTATGTCTTACTACATATTTTCAAGTAGTTCTGCTGTATGGGAAAAGGTACACAGACCTACAATACAATTTTTTATTGAAATTATTGTGTTACATATTTTAGTTATGAATCTATAATAAGGCAAAGCATTAAACATTAAAAGTACAGCCTACATATAAAAGACTTTTAGATAGTTTGTTTCTTTATGACTGTGATTTGCATGTATAAATATATTAAAAGAATTCTCTGAAATCATTTAATGGATTTCGTTAATGGGACTGAATTCCATGTAGGTATACTTCTCTGAGTATAGGTGTAATTAAGCCTTTCAATTTGAAAACAAAACTGTATTCTTTTCTACAGTTAATTTTTTTTAAATATTCAGAAAGTAAAAATGTTACAGAATAGTATTAATGTACTTCTTATGATACTTCTAATGTACTTCTAATGAACTTGGTGTTTGGTTTTCATAATTACAATAGTTAAAGCATTCAACAAGATCACATTGTGCCCAGAAAGAATAAACTTGTCCTACATAAAATATCTTTATTTAAATGGATTCCTGTGTCTTTAAATTTTTTTAATGTGTAAAGATATAACTAATTACAATGTCTTCATATCTGAGACATAGGCACTACACCTGGTGAGTCAAATGTAGCCTTCTTCTTGTCTGTTGTTGAAGGCAGATGATCATGTTGGGTGAATCTCATAGCTGTAATCCTGTACATAAAGGCTTCTACATGCTATAATACTATGCACACAACTATCTAACTGTCAGAATGGCAAATACCACCTTCAAGTCTGTATAGATTTGATAACTTGCCTTTGTGATATTGAAAAATTTAATGAAACAGTTTTTGTTTACTTGTTTTGTTCTGTATTTTGTTTTTCAAGACAGGGTTTCTCTCTGTAAAAGTCCTGGCTGTTCTGAAACTTGCTTTGCAGAGAAGGCTGGCCTGGAACTCACTGAGATCCGCCTCTCAAGTGCTGGGATTACACATGTGTGCCACCACTGCCTAGTGAAACAGTTATTTTTAAGAAAATCAAGTATATATTTTTCTGGATGGAGCACTGCACTAATAGCAACATGTTAAAAAGCAAACAACAACAACAAAAAATCACACACACACACACACACACACACACACACCACGCACACTATTTTAAGGCTCCAATCAGCCCCACTAAGCCAACGAAGGGCAGTATGTCCACTGCAGTGACCAGGAAAGACTGTCAGCTGCAAACCTATGCTCCAAGCAGCAATTCCATTTTGCAGAACAAGAAAAGGGACAGATTTCACAGGCAGTGCCTGGCTCATGCCAACCTCCCTACAATGGTTATAGCCAGCTGCAGATGAATTGAACTTTGGTAGAGCCCTGCTGGCAGACAGTGTCCTTGACTCCAGGGCCTGGAAGGCAAGCAGTGCTATAGCTTTGACACAATCAGATCCCGAGGTGCTCTCAGAAACTCTAATGCTATCTTATTTTTTTGGTTGAAACTTAGTTACACAGGAAAGGATGTGTGGCCTAACTGTGTTTTGTGTAAAGTCAAATGTATGAGAATTTCTGATAAGTACTAACAAGATAGGAAAAATGAAAGAATGAAACAAATAAGAAGGGAAGATTTAAATTTATCACTATGGGACTTGCTGCATGCATAAAACATGGCAAAGGTTTGCATTTTTGTTGCTCAGCAGATGTTTTAGGAAGATGAAGCATAATTGACTGGGATGTAAAGTTAATTAGTTGCAGAATATTTTGTTGCCTTGAGCCCATTCCTATAACACTGCTAGACCTGAAATTTGCCTCTGCACATGTGTTCTTTTTATGGTGAGAGGGAAATTTTCTTTAGTTTCTTTCCTGACCTATTGTTAGAGAGACCTGATCCATGCTGTCCACATTGTACTTGTACATGTCCCCAATTAAAATCAGATCCATCAGTGGTCAAATGGATAAAAGAAGACAGAGTCATTTCCAACCTGAACTTTCCAAGCTGCTCCCTGTGTATCACAGGCCTTCCTCTAGTTTTCACTAATTTCCCAAGAGGAATAACAATTCGGCCTTCTGTGCAAAATGAGATAGGAGCATCAGTAGCACGATGGCCCTAAACAGCATTTTCTGCCTCAGGATGAGAATATTTAACCATGTTAAGGCAAAATACAACACTGGTAACAAAGCTGAGGTTTTGGGGCCCACGCTGACAGCACGTCCCCTCTCTGCTTGTGTGAGGGCTCAGCATAAGTTGTGGAGTTTTCTTGTTGGGGGCTGGGCCATCCTGAAAACCAAACGTCATTTTAACACATGTGGTTTTTTTTTTCCCCTCTCTGTTTGGGGTCCTGTTCCATTTATGAGGTCCTTACCATAATAGATGGTAAGTCTAACAGACAGATCTCTATGTTAGAGCAATTCATTGTTTTATGGTTTTACCTAACAGGCATGTTATTGTGAATATAAGATTCAAAGCCCTTTCAAATAATTATTAAACCACTCTTAGGATGACTTGGCTGACATGTGACTTCATTTATTATGCTAAGAACCCCAATACTAGTTAAATTTTGTGATATGTGAGATATAATAAAATCCATATATTTTGTAATTGTTTATAAACTCTCCTTCATAACTATGACTTTACAGGTTTATTGAACCATAAGCAACTATTTTCAGTAAAAAGGACAGAACCATTACCTAGGCTACTGCTGAGAAGGGCAAGATATGCCAACATCAATAACTATTAATGCAAAACACATTATGGGAAGCTTTGTCTACTCAATCAACAGGGGCATGCCTCGTGTGGCTGCTGTTTCCATGTGTAGGTAAGAACTTCATTAGGATTGTTTTAGCGGATAAGGAAAAACCCAATCTCATTACTGCTTTTCCTGTCCCTCCATTACCCTCTCTAATTGTCTAATTGCTGAGTCTAATCTTCTGTGAACTGGGAAATTATATAATCAGGCTTGTTAGAATTTCGTCTAAAATTTAATAGGCTTTATATCAGAGCTTGGGGGAGTCTTGTAGGAGTAGAGCACATGCCCTTTTAAAGTAAGTTTCAGCTGCTTGTAGCACTTCTCTTTGTTAACTTGGTCATCTAATTTTAAAATTACTTGAGTAGATAGCTCTATCTTTCTGATATGAGGGCAGCACATATGCTATTTCACATACCCTTTTGTAACACAGTACATCCCTCCTTGCCAAGATATGGATTTGCATTTCCATCCCTCCAATTTGGACTTGATTTACTTGCTGGTTTGCCCAACAGAATGAAATATGAAACAAGCTCCGTGGCTGTCAAGGTCACAGTAGCCATAGTGATCTTAGATCACATGGTCCTTCTGTTTTACATTCCTTTTTAAAATGAAACCAGTTCATTGTGAGAGAGCCAAAGGAGATTTGTTATATAGAGAATCTTCATGCTACTGAATTCAGCCTTTGACTCAGTAACCAAAGATTTGAGTGATGGAGCCTCCAGATAATTCCAGTCCTTGGTCATTTGTGCCATAACCAGATACTCAAGTCTTTCTGGTGGTGATCTTTCATATCAATGGATAAAAGTCAAGCTATTCTCCATGCATTCCTTTCTAATGTCTGACCTACGAAACCTGTAATCATGGCAAAAGGGCTGCCATCTTACACTAGGTATAGTGATGGTTTGTGATGCAGCAATAGATTACTACACTGCATGATTCCATAAACATTCTAATACATGCAGAATAAGACCTTGTTCTGTAATAGTTTTCACAAAGGCAAAATCTTTCCATCTTGAAGAAAAACAACTTCTTGCTACATGGGGTAGGAAAAATAAGATGAAACAAAAGAATACTTTAAGACAGTGTGTTTACAGGGAGGTGAAGTGAAACATTCCATACTTAAGGAAGTTCTTTAACATGTAAAATAAACAACTCAAAATAGCTACAGGAAGTCCCTAAAGCTGAGCAGATTCATTATGTTCCTCTTTCCCCAAAAGTATATAAGTATATCTGAGAGTGACTGTCAGAGGGACTTCAGTGCTTGAAGACTCAGACCAAGCAGCCTATCTGAAGCAGAGACTAGAGTAGCAGCCTGTGACAGAAGGTATCAGTCCAACTGTCTAAAAGAAACAAAGACAAACTGAGCTGCCTAGAAGAGGCTCACATCAACTGAAGCACCAGGAATGGACACCTCAAACCTGTAGAGCTGCCTGCAGGCTGTAGAGTATCCAGGTTTTCTAGCTTTTGTCAGCTGTGCTGGGACAGATATAATAGTTGTCTCTGAGATATTTCTGCTCCTCTATTAACCACAATAAAGCTCGTTGGTTCACCAAAGTGGACTTTAGTGGTATTTATAATTTTATCTATTGTTAGTTACCTATCTGGAGTTAAGTAGATGTTTAGTCATGTCTCACCAGAAATAGCTTTTCTCCAAATCTATACTAAATATTGTTTACTGTCTCACAGGGAATGATGGCATACCATGTTTCATTTCTATTCTTTCTATTCTGTTCTGTTCTTTTGTTTTCTTTTTTCAAAACAATGTTTGCTCTGTGTAGGTCCATCTTTCCTGGAAGTCAGTCTATAAACCAGGCTGGCTGTGAACTCAGAGAGCTGCCTGCCTGTGCTGGGATAAATGGTTTGTACCACAATTGCAGACCCATGTTCCACTTACAACTTGCTGTGAGAGGACAAATCATTTTCATCTTTGTAATTTCAGTTTTTAGGACACTGTATACAAAGTAGATACGTAAAATAGCTAAACAAATTTATATTGGAGGAAGGCTTAAAAGTGAGATTTATCATAATATAATGATACCTATTATACTTTATAATGTAAAGTAGTCCTGTTATTCAAAAAGAGACACCTTAGAGTAATGAGAATGTTTCTTTGTGTCTGAGTAGCAGAATGATGTATAAATTCATAGCTAGTATTAATGATGCTATATACATTCAGACTAGTGATAATTTATGATGGCAAATAATGGAAGTGAAATCAAGCATGAGAATAGACTCACGTTAGTGCTTCAGAGTAATTATAATGAGGTGTAACTCCTAGAAACTTCTGGACTTCATCCATCACAGTAGCTGGGTCAGATCTCAGCTGTTGTCCATCAATAATTAGCAACTGCAAACCCAAAAATAGTCACTTACGAAGAACAAAACTGAATTAAATCAACCAAGTTGCCCCTCTTGACCTGGTATGGCATTAATAAGTCAGGCCACTTTGAATGAGAAGAAAACATTCACTACATAGAATACATTTAAATGTTGCTCTTCTTGCTTCTTTCCTAACTAAAAATAACTAAAATTTTCCATAGAAATTGTTTTTGTGTTGGTGAATTGTGAACTCAGTTTATTTTTACGCAGAAGTAAATGAAAATGTCTGTAGCACTGGAATTGTAGTATAGACAGGTGTTTCTCATCTCTACTGTATATTACCAGCTAACCATTCAGCCTTCTAAATGTTATCCCTAACCTTGAGACCAATGACTCAAGAGTGACCACCCAAGTGAAAGTGACCCATCTATTTTTACAAACCATGACTGAGGGGAAAACCCTGAATGAGAGGAAAATGTTTCTGACTTTCTCTCTTTGGATCACTGATGGAGAATATGGGCTAAGAAGAAGAACATCAAGGGTGTTTTTCTCAGATCTTACTGTGGTTCTATCCCATGTCTAAAGCCCTTCTTTTTATGGTCATCTAGATGAAGGACCTCTTTTTTTCACAGTAAGGGTCTCACGTGGCAGAGAAGCTGAATGAATCCACATGGATACTTCTACGAATTCTCTGGCTAGTTGGATTCTATACTAGTTCTTGAGAGTTTTCAATTTTGAATTACATGACATTTCTTTTGAAACCAACTACTCATCAAAGAACTCTCCTAACTATGTGCTTCAGAGCCATCTAACTACATTGGATGGTATTAGTAAAGTAAAAAATATGTAAAAAGCCACGTTTTTTATGGCCTCTATTGCTCTTGGTTATCTGTGAAGCACATCTGTGTGTGTCAGTGCGATGCAATCATGATATGATAAGTGGAACATAATTTCATAACATTACCTGGGAAGTAGCAAAGTAGGTCAGCCATCTTTCTATGTGTACTGCGTACCATCCAGGTATCAGACATCTCCTCTGCAAGGTTTTTAAATCTGGTGGGGCCCAATGTCCTGTTGAGATAACTTCATAGAAATTGAACCTCAGGGCAGCTGGATCTTCATGGGATCGTTGGTGCTTTAAAGGAAAGGTAAAGTGTAGAGTTAGAAATGCTTTTTAGATGTTTGCATAATTTTTGTGTATATATACCTATGCATTTGGCACATTGTTTATTTCAAATAGCAGGATTTCAGTAAATGTCAAGTAATATGCAGATATATGTAGAGTTGTTTTGCTTCTAAAATATGTAAACAAAAGTAGATGGAGTGAAAGGATTTTCTACAAGGGTCTGATTAGATATGAAAATGTGCTACAGAGAAAAAGTAAGCTTGATAAATATAAATTTAGATGGACAGCAGTGGTCTCACACGTTGTTTGGTCTACTGTGCCTTTCAAGCTCCTTCTAGTGGTTCCTCTGTGTGGCATAAACTATACATGCAGAAGCCCCAGATGGCGATGTGTAACCATTGTTCAGATGTCCCATCCAAGTTAAACTTGTCTCTATTGGTCGCCACCAAGTGTCATTTCATTCCTGCTTTTCAGTATCAAAGCTTAGTAGTCTTCCCCACAAAACTACCATTTGGCAAAATAACAAAGACCAACTAAATGAGAGAAAAATTTAATAATGCAGATGCTTGAAAATATGTTCCTCTCATCCATAGAACAACAACAACAAAAATAGTGATGGATGTGAAGCGTAATTGCTGTCTTTAAAGAAATGGAGCCTAGTAAGAGAGGCAGTAGAGTAACAGATAATATCAAAGACATATAATTTTTATTTTATTTTATAAGTAAATTTTACAGGTAAATTACTCTAGACAAGTCAAGATAGTTTAGTGAGGGGTCAAAGGTCAAAAGTGGAAAGTAACTGCCTGATGAGTGAAACTCATATTTCATTTTATTTATAATGCTGAATACATGCAGATGACATATCCAGTCCAGACAACAAAATGTGTAGAGATTTCATAATTGGAAAAATAATTGCTAATATGCAGTATATGCATATTAATAGAGTACAGCCTGGCTAAAATTTCTGTTATAAGCAGTAACCAGAGTGTACTCAATCTGCTCTTATTGACTTATGTAAGTTTAGCTTCAGATTTTCTTTATATGCCTGCAACTAAGATTAGCATAAAAATATGACCAGAAAGTCACAAAGGAACATATTTTATAGGAAAATAGCACTTTAGTTCCTCTGTGAGGTCCATTATAAAAATGTGGGGTAGAAATTACAGTAGCAGGTGACGTTCGTGCTGGTTTCTGACTTACACCTGCTGAGCTTCAGATTTATGTCCCTTACTGGAAGGACGGGTCTAGCTAAGTAATAGGCTACATTATTTTGAAATGTGGAGCACTTTGGGGCCCTGGCTTCAGCAATACAGGCAATAAAAAGTATTATCAGAAAAAATAATTCCCTTAAACCTGAGTATCCAAAGAATTTATTTGGAAAGTAGTCACTGATAAGCACTGTATTATGTACATTCTATTTCATTCAAGTGATTTAATCTATATAAAGCAATCATTTCAGTCTACCCTACATAGATTAAACATTCAATATTCTCGCAATATTTAAATTTAAAACTTTTAATTAAAGTTTACACCTCAGTGTTTTGATTTTTTAATTAACTCTATTATAAAAGCCTTGCAAATAAGAAATTTCACAAACCCAAATTAACCAGACCTAAAGTCTATACTTCTTAATGAAATTCTATACAATTAAAATAGAAAATTTGAAGTTGTTGGACTTCATATTTGATTTTACACTTTACAGTATAGAATATATTTTATGCACTTACCTACCACCAAAACTGAAAAATCCATGCCAGAATTAGAAATAGAAAAACAATTATCTTTTTATTCTCTTTTATAACTTACATTCATTTAGTATTTCTATAGCTTCTAAAATTTAGCCTTTCTTGTTTACTTTCCTACATGTTATACATTATGTGCTGGCTTTCTTTATGTTAACACGACACAGGGCTAGAGTCTTCTCAAAGGAGGGTACCTCAATATCAGCATAGATTTGGAAGGGGCTCCCAAAGCTCCACCCCTAGCTACGAAGCTATTGACAATTGATGACTGCTTAAAAAGGGAGTCACTTGAATGTAGTCACTCATAAGTTAATTCACTGTGTGAGTTAAATATTTAGTTGTTTTATAGTTGAATGAAAGAATGCATGGATGGATGGATGGGTGGATAGATAGAAAAGTGATGTATAGACACATAGTCTTCTTTTGGTTTAAGATAATTTTTGCATATATTTAATGGTTAAGTTAATATATACTTGAATTACTCATCACTACTCTTCTTCATTCTTACCTGGTACCAAGAATATGCCCTGTCCGAGGGGTCAATGAGGATAGTAATGATCTTGGCTTTGGGAACAAGAGATGCAGCTCTCTTGGGAGCCTCTTCTGAGTGAAAGTAGTTAGCACTCTTTTCAAATAGGAAATCACTGGTAATGTTGGAAGGAGTAGGGAAAAAGTCCATATACCTGCAGGTAAGAAGAGAAAATAAATTAATCTGAGCAGTATATTTTTTTAATTCTGCCACCCAAAATGGGAAGATTTTGAACAGGTTTTATATCGTTTGCATAAAGTTCAAATTATCGTGCTATAACATCATTCAAATAGTCAACATGCTGTGCACTTCTAATGTGAAAGCAACCCATAATGTTATGTGCTCATGACTCATTTAAGGCAAAGGGAAGAACGAGGTAGATTAAGTGAGTTTATAATGAATGATGGGATAATACAGTGGATTTGAGCTGATATCCTCTGCTGTCAAAAACCAAGTCCAAAATTACTGATTATGCCTGTACAGAACAATATTGTGTCATCTTCCTTGACAGATATTTTAAATAGTAAATGTGTTTTTGCAGATTTGAATGCTAAGATTCTTAAGGTTAGCTTGAAGTTCATAAGACAGAAAGACATGTAAGTCAAAATAGCTATAAAACATTAAACAGATTAAGTCGTAGCTGTTGTCCTTTTTATAAAATTTGGTAATATATGCAGTAATATCATCACATTATAATTTATCTAGAGTAATTAAAGGACTATTTTCTATCAGTTGATCCTGCAGTGCCTCCATAAGTTCACCCCTCCATATGCTGTCGGAACATTCCTCTGTGTGTATATTATGGAATCAATATGTTCTGAGGCTAATTCAGTACAAGGCTTTAATTATGTGTGTAACCCTCTTTACAGCTCATCACTTCTCTCACTCTCAAATGTTCTAGAAAAAAAATGAGAGCAATTAAGAATCCATAGAAGGCACTTATTTTCCTCTTTGACATTTGTTATTATGTTTCCCAAATGAAGAGTACTGAAGAATCTCATCTGTATTCTTGCTTAAATTTTTCTGTTCTATTTGAGCTCAGAGAAAAGGGAAAATTTGCTTTTCTTTCTTTAATAATTTAATGTAATTCCAAAATGTAAAAGTGAGATAGAATAGTAACATCTCAGATGTAAAGTGAACATGGTTTCACTCAGGATGAGACGAGATCTGCACAAAAACATTACTCTTGTTGGGCCATTATTCTAGAAGGTTCATGTGTTATGGAAACACACAAAATTAAATGTTACAAATTGTGTATTGAAAGCAATTTTCCTCATATGAGATTTGCCTTATATTTCCAGGGAATATAAATCTAGGGAAATCAAATCCAGGCTCATAATTTCTTGGAAAGTTAGGATACAGACAGAAAAAAAAAATCATCAGACTAAGTACCATCTCCAATATTAAGTTTAGTCTATTTTATCTTATGGAAAATATTGTTGTTTTAATTGTTTTCCACCATTTATCAAGTGCTAATTAATGTTTCTTTTGTGTGTGTGAGTAGAATTGATATGGTTTAGGGAAAGCTCTATTATAATTTGCATGACAAATATTGCCTACATTGCAATACAACATACACAGCTCATGTGGTTAATGAAGATACATGTCCCAGAGTACAAAATAAAGCAACCTCAGGCATCACTGTGAAGACAAATTATGTGTTTAATAAAATAAATGGAGAAACTGTAAAATAAGAGTATGCTTAAAGAGAATTTTAAATATCCTTATGAATAATGCTGATGAAAAATAACCCCAAAATGTTCGTTATTCAATCATATTAACTTACCAGAAAAATATTATCATTATTGCACTGTCCAAATCAAATTATAAGCAACACTGATTAAACATATCATCATTATAAATTAATTTCTAATTCACTGTGGTAGAATTGAGCATAACAAATTTATTCTGTAATTATGCAGATGCCATGCACACATCTGTAATTGCTCTGGGATGACAGAGCATGTGTTAATGTTTGAGTTCATTTTTTTTTTTTTGTTTTTTGGTTGTTGTTATTTATTCTTACCACTCAATTCCCTTGTGATAGTTGTTGCCATTAAAAAATTGAACTTCTTCAAAGGTTTTTGGGCTAGGGAGATTGCTGATGATGGAAGGGTGCATAAGGAGAAATAAATAAAGTGCAGTTGTTCCTGTTACAAAGAAAAGAAGATACATGTTATATGTCAGAAAAAGAAAAGATTGGAAGATCACCGTCATATTTTAAACAAAAATAAATTTCAGTAAACCAACTCTTTCCAGTGTTTTCTTATAACTAAATAGATGCACTTCATTTTAATAATAATCAAAATGGGTCTGGGTGTTTGTGATGCACCTTTAATCCCAGCACTCAGGAGGCAGAGGCAGGCAGATCTCTGTGAGTTTGAAGCCAGCCAGGTCTACAGAGTGACTTCAAGGTCAAGCTCCAAAACAGTACAGAGAAACCCTGTCTTGAATAACAACAACAACAATAATAATAATAATCAAAGTGGATTTATAGTAGCCTTTGTGCTTCTATTTATCTAAGTATCTGATTCAATATTGCTACATAGGCAAAGAAACATGGATGAGAAATCTAGTCAAAGTAGAATTTCAGAAATGTGTGTTTTAATTTCCCCCTGGAGTCATGTCATAGGTATTGATAGCCTCTCTATTTTTTGGCTACTAAATCTAGAAAATCACTGCTTGGCAATTAATTTCAGTCAATTAGATTGAAATACTTGATAGAAGTATATGTTATTTATTATATGCCACAGGAGTAATAACTGAAGATAATTTTTTTGATCAGAAAAGCACATGCATTGACTTCAATAAACTTGAAGTTCATGTGTGTATTTGAGTCTAGAACAGGGGCAATGGAAGGAGTGAACAGAGGCTTGAGTACCTAAAGACCTAAGGGAGCCATCACTTTGCACGCAGGGAATATTAATCATGTAGCATTTTAAACCTATCAAATATGTGGCCCTAAATCGATAGTTAAATTAGGAACAAAACACATAAAATGGCAAGTAGATGGTATTTAAGCAACAATAAATACTGTTTAAAGCTTTAGTTTCATGTGTCTTTTTTATGAATACCCTTTACTTAACTAATTATTCCTCTGAATAAACAAAATTATAGGAAATAGACATTCTACCTCATGAATGACAACTCAAAGACCTTTACTCTATTTATAGATGTCTTATGCAGAGAGCTATCAGCCAAGTCATATCTTCCTTGGCAAGTATTCTAAGACAACCTGCACACTGTACTGGTTATTTTTTTTATTTGTTTTAATAAATCTTAAAAAAAAAAAAAACTACAAGAGAAACTCCATACAATTTAGAGACATCTGGAAAGAGACCACCTCAACTGAGAAAATACTTCTTGCAGGGTGGGCTAGATTAAGGGAAAAATTCTTGAATAATGTTTGATGTGGGAGAGCCCAGCTACTCCTGCAGAGGTAGTCATGGGAAATAAGGCATAAGGAACAGATAAATGTGAACTTGGAAGCAAGCCAGTAAGCAACATCTCTTAGTTTCTTCTTCGGGTCTTGACCTCAGGTTCTGCCTTGAGTTCCTCCTCTTCCCTCAGTGATAGATTGTGATCTGGGCATGTTAGTAATAAAAATTTTTGTTGTTTTTTGTTTTTGTCTTTTTGGCTTGTTTGTTTTTTGTTTTGGGTTTTTGTTGTATTTTTTTCTCTCTCTTTTGAAGTTGCTTTGGTTCATGGTGCTTATCACAAGAATAGAAAGCAAACTAGGACACACAGGATTTGAAAAACTAGTCCCTGGGCATGATGAACGTGGGTGAAGTTTTCTTTCTTTCTTTCATCTTCCTCCCTTTCTTTCTTCCTTTCTTCCTTTTTCCCTTATTGAGACAAGATCTTAATTACTGAATTTATAAGTGTTTGTGAATTTATAAGGAGTTTGTGAACTTCAGGTGCCTTGGTTTTTTCTGAAGCTATTCTCATTCAGGAAGCACTTCCCTAGTGATTTGGCAGACAGCCCCCAGGTGGTATAAATGCATTACCTGTGGTTGATTCCTATGTACAATTCCTATGTACGGCTTGTGGCTGGTGGCACTGGAAGCCATGTGCATACACATATTAGTAAAATTAAAATCTGATTACAAGTGTGACTTATTTCTTTTTGAGCAATAGAAGCAGGCTACAGATCACTCTTGGGTTTTGTGGGAAAGCTGTTTCTTCTATGTATCACTTTGCATGTTGCAAAATGAGGCCCATTTTTTTTTAACCTTGCAACATTTATTTTATCACAAATTTTACTAGTTCTTTGAAAATTTAATGCATTACATTTTTATTATATTAAACCCCCTTTTCTTCCTTCATGACACCCAGATATATCTTCCCTAATCACTCATCCTTGTACATGTTTTTTTTTAATAGGTCATCAAATCCAATCTGTGCCACCTATATATTCTTGGATATATGGTGTTCCATAAAAGGGTTTGTTATAGATGTCTCATTCAGGCCTTCAGAGTCCACAGTCCTCATGTTCTACAGCTTGACAAGCTGAAGGTTTGTCTATTAATTTTCATCTACTGCAAAAAATTTTTTCTTAATCTATGGGTATAATAAGTCACTAGTATGAGTTTAGCACTATTCTCTTTTGATAAAGAAATAGTAGTGATTTCTCTTGTTAGTACCACAGATTCATGGTGCAGATAATGTCTCTAGGTATGGGTTTCATCTTGAGGAGAAACCCTTAATTCTCAACAGAAAGTAGCTGATTACTCCCAGGATGTTTTTGCCACTATTTCTCTAGTGTATATGTTGTGCTTTGCTATACTAGTTATTAGTACTAGGAATGCAGAACTGGGAAAAACCTGTTATTTTCTTTTCTCCTTCAATAGCAGTATTCAGAATCATGGAAGTGAATCAAAATGGATGAAGCTTACAGGTCAGTACTAACTTGATATCTCCATGTTTTATGACTCAAGTATGTGGTATCTTAGCAACAGAGTTTTACCATCAGGTTCTATAAGGTATCTATGAACATTTGAAGTGGCTTTTCAAGTTGGGTTGATGTGACCTTACTTTCCAATAGTTGCAAAAAATGGTATTTCTTTATAATTTCTGTATAGGTATTTTGAGCCCTTCTCTTATCCTCCTTTGCTCTCTTATTCAATTGCACTCTATCTCCCTGACCTTGAAAGTTTGCCCTTCCAGACCTTGGATAATTTCATGACCTGCATATGTATTCCAGATGAAACACATATATCTGAACATTCAAAGATCTTGTTTACTTATTTCTTCATCAATATGTTTGTTATTTATGTATAGAAAGAATATTGAATGTTGTATAATGATTTTATATTCTTATACTTTACTGAATGTATTTATCAACTGTGGTTTTCTACTGCAGTCTTTATGTTGAAATCCCAATCTAAAATTAAGAATATTATGACTCCTTCTTTTACTATTTGTAGTCCCTTTATGTCTTCATTTATCTTATCAAATGTTCAAATGATAAATTGAACAGGCATAGGGGTGGAGTGGACATCTCATTTTTCCACCAGATTTTAATTGGAACTCTTTGAGCCCTTTCTTCATTTAAAATATGTTAGCTGATATATGTTGGGCAATGCCTGCCTCTCTGGGATGAAGCCAGTTTGGTCTTTGTAGACAGCCTTACTGCTGTGTTCTTCAATTTAGTTTGCAAGAGTATTATTGAGAGGCTGTGCATCTATACTCAGCAGCAAGACAGACCTATAGTCTTCTATTTTACATAGATTTTTTTTGTCAAGTTTTTGTATCAGGGTGATACTGACTTTGTAAAAAGAATGTAGAAACATTCCATCATTTTATTTATTTATTTATGAAATAGTTTGAGAGTATTATTGCCAGTTCTTTCCTTAGTTTTTGTAGAATTCTGTATGGAATCCATCGGACCCTTGGAATTTTATAGTTGAGAAGTTTTTACTTCTATCATATCAAATACTATTGGTATTTTTAAATATTTTTAACTTTAGCTTTAGAAACACATTATACACACACACACACACACACACACACACACACACACAATGTCTTTAACATATTGTATACATGGTACAGTGTGTGCATGTGTGTGTGTGAGTGCATTTCTTTTAGATTTCCCAGTTTATTGAAATACAGATTTGTAAAGGATGTCCTCGTGATTCTTTGAATTTCCTCAGGCTTTGTGGAAGTCTCTCCCTTTTAAAATGCAATTTTGCTCATTTGGATACTCTCCTGGTTATTTTTCTGAATTTGAATAAATATTGTCAGTCTTATAGCTTTTTTGTAGCACCAACTATTTTTATTTATTTTATCCCTGATTGTGATTGTATCTTCTCTCCTACCTTGCAGGATTATTGTTTTGGTTTTGTAAGATATTAAGGTGCATCATAAAGTATTTCAAATGAAGTGTTTTGTATTTTTTTGATATAGAACCATGGTACTATAAGTTTTGCTGTATCTCACATATTTGTGTATGGTATGTTTTCATTTTCATTAAATTTGAGGACTATTTTAAACTTCCTCCTTGATTTCTTGACACCAGTATATTTAACATTCAGGGTTGTGTTGTTTGCTTTCTATGAGTTCATGTTTTTGTTTTTATTTCTGTCATTTCTGTTGCTGTTAATATTTAATTTTATTCCAGTGTGGTCAGATAGAATGCATGTTGTTATTCAAATTTTCCTACATGTGGTGGGACTTGTTTCATGTGTTCAACTTTGGAGAAAGTTTGATCAGTTGCTGAAAAGAATGTGTATTCTTTAGTGTTAAGTGAAATGTTCTGTAGATGTCTGTGAGGTCCACCTGGTATATAGTATCTTTAAATTCCACAACTTTTCACTGCCAAGGAAAACTTGCTCCAAGCTCCTAGGCCAAACTGCTGAAGACAAAAATGCTATAGTTTAGAAACAGAAGACATAGGATAGAGGCCATAACCTCAAATGCCTGCTAACAAAGTCAACAACTAGCCAAAATATGGAGTAGTAGCTTCCTAACCATAGTATCTTCCTGAATATTTGACAATTTGGCATTAACCTTTCAATCTAGAAAGCGTAGAAAGATATATTCCAAGTTCTAAAAAAAGTCACAGCTATCAATCCAGACTATTATACCCAGCCAAACTATCCATTAAAATTGAAAGAGAAATAATTGAAAACCAGATAAAAGAATTTGTGACTACTATGATGATTCTAGAAGTGAAACTACAAAGAATATGTCAGTCTGAACAGGAAAAACATACCCAAGAAGTCACAGGCAACAAAAGTAGTGTGAACTGGTTGTTAGTCTCAAAGACAGATAGGGCAACTGGAGGGTCTCACTCAGGTTGTTTCCAGGCTCTAGGTATATATATGACATAATGGGGATTCCTTGGTAAGGTAGGGAGCAAGCTTTGATCTGGGTCTCCACAGTAAACAGGCTCCACAGTCCTTAAAATGGCAAGTAGATGGTATTTAAGTGAGTAGATGTTATTTCATTGCCTAGTTTCCATGCTGACTAATGATTAGTGATACAGTAACACTAAAAAATAGATGGAATCTTCCAGTCCTAGCATCTAGAAAGAGACCAGATAGTGACTCCAGAAGTTATTAATGAGGTTTCTGACATTCAAAAGTTTCGATACTACAGCACTAGCTAAACAGTTCAGAGATACTGACTTCGAAAGCCCAGACGTTATTACCAGGATACAGCTAAAATGTTCCAAAAAATGTCTTGACAGCAGATACTTTGGAAACAAAAAAAAAAGTGGAAATATTACAAAGGAACTGGAAAGAAGTATAACACCTGAGCAAAAGGCTGCAGAGAGCCAAATCATTAAAAAAAAAAAGTGAGCTTTGCCACTTTGGAAGTTCCAGAGGGCTTCACATGTGGAGGGTCCTAGCATTGGAGCTTAGCCTACACCTTCAGAATGCACAGCTCCTGGATTTAAAGTTTCACTGCTTCCTCAGATCTGAGCACTTACAGCACTCAGTTTCCAGCTGTGGAAGCTTGGAGCTTTGAGTCTCCATTGCTGAGTGCTTAGAACTATAAATTCAGTGGTATACAGGTGTGCTACCCAGGATCTCACATCTGCTGACTCTGAAAAAACAACCCCTTATTTCCATGCTAGTAGAGTAAAGGGCCCGAGCCAACTGTTTTTGACAGAATTTAAAGGAGAAAAATTTTTAAGCAAATCTAACACCCATTTAAATGTTTATTATTATTATTTAAGAAATAATCACCAAGGTAAATCAGTAAAGGAGAAAGAGAATGAGAGAGACAGATTGAGAGAGAGGGGGAAGGGAGATGGTTAAGAACAGAATTCAATATGACAAGAACCTGAACTCCAGCCAGAAGAAACATTTTAAACACAGTGGAAAAAAAAAAAAGTTATTAAAGTTTTGAGAGGAGTCTGATTTGCCCCTGAAAACAATAGTTCACAAAGGAGAAAATGTGAGAGGAAGTACCACACATTCTAGAGACAAGCGAGTTAAACGGTCGACTGAAAAGGGATTGGAACACAATATCCAGGAGGTTCCTTCATTGTGTTTCAGAGTTACAAAAAATTACATGGTGATGAGGAAAGAGGAGGGATGAAAGTGGTCTGATTTTTTAAAGACCTACAAAAGAACAGGCAAAATTAATAGCTTGATATCTTTAAGGGTTAAGCATGGCTGGATCAGGGCACAGATAAATGAATGCTTAAAAGTTATCGCTGAATATCCAATAATAGATATTTTATGACCTCACTGAGAATAAAGAATTTTTTAATATCTCAATGGCTGTGAAATTGTACCCAGCTTTGCTCTTGTGATTTGAGCCTTACACCTTCATGCCTTCAGAATCTAGAAGATGTGACGTGTCCCCTTTCCCCCTGGTAGCAAAGAAGGAATGAACTCTACCAGGGATTAGAGACCTAGGGCTTGGTGTTCTTAAAATCGGCCATGAATTCTACATCTGCTGGGACAAAATGTTTGTATTTTTGTCCTCTTATTTTATCATTCTTGTCAGTCATTTGTTATACAATCCTTCTGACACAAGTTTATGGAAAATGAGGAAGGGTTTTGCTAAGTAACATTCAAGAAACTCTGTTTTTACACAAACAACCTTTTACTTTTAATTTGCCAGACTAAGCCAGACAAAGTATGAGAAATGAGTACTGAACAAATGGTATTTTAGATTCTCTGCTAAGTGTGATGCTATTAGAAATCCCCTTTCACAATGGAAACACTGCTCTGGAGTGTGAGGGTACAAAACTGTCTAAAGGAAGGTAGAGACATGGTGTGAACTGCCTTATGTCCCAAATTTCTCTGTCTTCCATATACTCTCATCCCCTGGTTGATCTCAGCGAAGGATCCCTTCTAGGATTCAGTAGTGTGAAAATGGGATCTCACATCCTTCTGTTCTCCCAACTGTAAAAGGAGGTTTGTAAGGTAATTTTTTTTTTTTTTTTTTTTTGTACTTCATGTTTCTCACAAGGGGTGACTATATCATGTTTAGGTTACTGAAATTTAAAGTGTGCTCAAGGGTAGGTAGTTAGCAGATAACTGCAACTCCCCTTCAGAAGATTTACGATGTCTTGACAGTAATGTATGCTTTACTAATATTAAGAAAAGATATCTATGGTTGGTTGTTTCAAATTAATAGAACCATTTGTCTATTAAGTAATGTATCTATGCCATATATATATTGATATGCAATTCCTCTGTTTTAATTTCTTATTTTACTTGAGAAAGTTAAAAAAAAAAAAAAAGCCACAGAAACAGTTGAAAGCTTTATCATTGCCACATGGATAGGCCACATATTAAAATCTAAAGGTATAACATATTGGTTTTATAAATACAAACAATAAGGAGGAAAAAGATTTATAGTTAATAACATGTGGTTTTCTAGCATAACTAAGCAGTAATAATATTCAATGACAAATGATAGAGAGTCTGTCTTTAAATTAAATTTTTAACAAAACTTTACAACCCAGGATGTTTTATTTCTTTATTATTTATTCTCAAGTTAGCAGTACTGTAGGGAGTTGGCAGAAAATTAATGCACATTTTAAACAACAAAAACATGATATATCTGAAAATGTGTGTTGCTTTTCCACCCTCCCTGCATATGTGTTAATTCACTGTTGTAATACAATTTATATTCCTAGAGGAAGAAAAGATTTCAACAACCAATATCTGATAGTCTGGAAATTGTACTCACAACCTTTAAAATGATCTACTTGCTTGTATTACAAATGTCTTCACTGCAGGTTATTTACAGTGACTGTTTGTTTTGTGTTATGCTTTGTGTTCTCCCTAATGAAGGTGCTTCAAGTCCAAGAAGTGAATTCAAGATACAGCAACTCAATAAAAAACTTTAATTAATCAGGATATAAGCAAAGTATATAAAAGTGTCACACACTGAAGAAAGTATAAAATATTCTAATTGAAAGTGTCATCTCATTGGTGAAATACTTTCATTCTCTTTTACTACATCCTTATACAGTTGTCCTTCAGTGCACAAGAAAATACCAAGAGAGAATGCCCTGCAGAGATTGGCACACAGCAGAAAACAAGTCTATAGCACATTAATACTTAATGAATGATTTTTAACAACACACATATAAGATAATTTGTGAGTAATAACATCCATAGTTCTGAACAGAGATCAGTGCTGATGTGCTGTATAAAATAGTCTGAGTTTGAATCATAGTCACCCTTTCATAACTCAATTCAGGGATTAATTAGGCAAAGCCACAAAAAGAAAAAAAAACTTTGATACTTATGTTAAACAATTTTAATCTCCATAGCTAAAGCATCTAGAGTTCAAGTCTAATTAATGGCAACAGCATGGTCTTTTTGAGGCTTGTAGGATAGCAGATGAATGATGAGGAGGTGCAACGAACTTGCATAGGGCACAGAACAAGATCCTATAATATAATGCCACAAGTACTTAATAATGACAACAAGGCAAGAAGCATTACTGCCCAGCCTTACCTGTTTTCTGAGGCCCAATTACAAGGAACTTTGGTAAATGGTCACAAGTTTTCTCCCTGGACCAGATGTCTTTGTGCCGTTTATCATCACATGGATTCTGCAAGAAAGAATAATGCATCTTACTGAATCCTGGCTGCTGTGTCTTAACAACCTTTTTGATGGGAGATGTCATTCGGTAAATATGTTTCTCGTATTGGTTAATGAATAAAGCACTGTTGGCCTATAGGAAAGCAAAATAGAAGGGACTTGGAGACAAGGAGGATTCTGGAAGACGTAGTAGAGAGGAGTCAAGATTTAGGGTGTGACAGAAGTAAGAGGCCTGGACCCTTCCTCTGGTAAGATAAGACCACATGGAAACACTTAGATTGATAGAAATGGGTTAATATTTAAGACAGAATTATCAAATAAGGCGCTCTAGCAATTGGTTAACAGCTTTATAACTAAGAGTCTCTAGGTGTTAATTGGGACTGATGTGGCTCTGGTACCAGGTTGGCACAAAACTTCTCATAACAAAAACCTTTCAAGTAAGACAGGATGAGATTCCTGCCTGATCTCCTAGAGCTGGGCATACATAACACCCTGTTTGATTCTCAAATCTTTTCCTGTGCAGTGATTATCTGGTTCCCCACTCAAGGCCACACAGAGGCAGAGCACAGTCTCAAATCAGTCCTTTTGCGATGTTCATGTACTCCATGACAGATAATAATGGTGACTCTGTTCTATCTTTATTTGTGTTTTGTGTCTTCTGCATCAAAGAGGCTTGAACGGGAAAAGTCTTACTTGACTGTAGTTTTGCAGCTTTTTTCTGTCTTTTTATTTTTCAACAGTGAAACATCTAAATATTATAATCTGGGTACTTTATTTCAATATAAAATGACTTTCTTTGGGAAATGTTTCTGAAGGTAATACCTGTTAGATAAGTTGTTTTGAATTAGGATTTTTCCTAGAACTTTGATAAATATAGGTAAAAATCACAGTTTCCAACATGACATCTTTCTAGGAGAGAGTAGACATTTATCCAATTAACTATGCTAGCTCTGTCAAGAAATGTTTACACAAATGAGCCTCCATTTTTCAATTAGAAAATGCAAAACTGAAACCTTTTATGTCATTTGAACACTTATTAGTTAATTTATTTAATCTCACTGATTCAAATTTTCATTTTAAAACATGAGGGTAAAAGTGCTATATTGGGAACTATATTATTTCAAAGACGTATATTTTTCTTTAAATTTTTATTTATTTATTTGGGATATGGCTGGTCCCAAACTCTTGTACTCAAGTGATTTTCCTGTGTGAATCTTCCTAAAGAATATTATTATGGCAGGCATCATTCACATCTCTTACAGTTTGAAGTTACACACCATCTAAATGTACTTCTCATCCTTACCTACAACTGATAATACCAGGGAACATAAATTTGTAAATACTACCATTTTTTATTGTTTGAGGATCTCATATATTCATAATATGTGCTTTGATCAAATTCACTTCCATGTTCCACCCTTTAATTCCTCATCACCACTTTTCTTTTCCAACTTCATGTGCTTGTTTTTAAAATCCACTGAGTTCATCTATTGCTACTTGTATGTACCTGGGTTTAGGACCATCTCCTGGGGCCTCTGTAGCATCTCATAGCCTGGATCAATGAAGGAGACTTTCCTCTAGTAGTCATCATTTCCAACAATTCCTCTGCTATGTTGAGAATTTTTACTACATCCTCCATTCATGCTAGTTTTTTGTCCAGTATGATCTTTAATGGGTCTGGTACATGAGCACTGTGATAAGTGATAATAAATACGTAAGCACTCTCTCTCCTAAGCACTATGAAGACACACCTGCAGATGAACGTTGCATCCACAGAACAGTTTTATGGTAGTCTCCCACTGCCTCTGGCTCTTACAAACACTCTCTCTCTCCTCTCTTGCTCCATTACTTCTGAGCCTTGGGGTGGTGTGGGGATATAAGGTATAGTTGATGCACCTTTGGTTAAGAACCAATAATTGTTAAAGGCAATTGTAGTATGTGATAATTTACTTTGGAAAAGATTAAGCTATATTTCATGGATTTTCCAATAAATTTATCAATAGAATACTCCCAAAATTGAGTGAAATGTAAGTTGTTAAAGTCAAAAATTTCTTCTTCTAAGATGTAAAAGGACCAGAAATTCCATTTTACATTGACTATCATATATTTCTTGAAACATTTCTCTTGATTATTAGATCTTCTACCCTCCACACCCTAGGATTAGCTTAACTATCCATCCATGGTTTTTGTTTGTTTGTTTGCTTGCATTTGTTTTTTGTTTTTTTGCAGTGGCAAAGAAGGATGGGCTTTCATCTTTTCTATTTTATTTGATAATGAAAAATTCCTTATTTTGCTTAGTACACCGGTCTCCAAGCTAAAGATTGTATTTCATAACCTCTCTTGAATTAGCCTTTCTGATGAAAAAGTCTTGAACAATTGAAAGTGAGACAAATGATACGAGGTGTCTTTTTTTTAAAGTTAAAGCCACCATCTCTGTTTTCCTCTTTTTGGTTATCATTGGCTATAAAATGGCTATAACTGAAGAATGAGCCTGCCTTGCACCCAGAGGTAGAAACCCTAGGTAGAAGAACTTACTGCCTAAGGCATTAAATTAGTCTATGGAACAGAGATGTCTATGTTTCCTACAATGCTCCCTTTTAGATAATTAGAGGAGTGATAATCACATTTCTAACTTATTTCAGACAAGGTGTATTTTAATATCACTGTGAAACATCACCTATAATCTAATGTAATGTGTTTCAAAACTTCTTTCTGTAAAAGCTAAGGAGCTTGGTGACAGAATGTGAATCAATACATTCCTTGCTTCAACTGGAATATTTTTCTCTGAGCTGTACTAAAAAAGCAGCTGAAACAACCAGTGTTCTTTAGGGAATGTAGTCAATTTGCCCTTAGCATATGCTTCTCCTCTCATTGGAGTATCAGCAACAAATGGTTTAAGCTTGTTTGTGGACCACGCTGAGCAGCACTGTTGGAATTAAGATTGCTCAGCCCACCTAGTACATCAGTCACACTGCATTCTCTATCATGGAACTAACTATGATAGTCTGCTTCAGAGTCTTTGAATAAATTATTTTCTTGCTCAATGTCCATATTTTCAACCAATTCTTAGTCAAAGCTTTTCTATTTTTTTTTTTCTGGCTTATGTTAACACCCACTGCAAACTTCCCTCAGCCCAATTAGCAAGGACATGAGCCCAGGGGTCTTGGCATGCTTTAGTTAATGTTCTTAAATCTCTGGACCTCAGTTTCTTTGTTTGTAAAACAATGATTAATAGTTTCTAGCACATATGGTGTGCCCATTAAATTTATTACTAACTTTAAAATAATAAAATCATGCTGTATATAAGAAAGTGCTTATTTTATTTCATACCAGCCTTTTTTTTTTCCCTTTGCCCTATTAGTAATTCACTTTGAACAAAGGGAGGGATCTATTGTCTTCCCTTTTAAACATAGTCAAATGTCCCTCCTGCCTTATACATGATACTTTTGTGTCATAATTTCTTCACAATTCAACACCTAAAATGATTTTGTTCATGCTTGCAATAATCCTCTACAGTTAAATTATAGCCACACTTTATTTGGAGTCCATCTACAAGACTGTAAGTTCTCTGAGAGGGAGGCCTCTGGCTGTTCCGCATTGCTACAGCCTAACACATGAGATGCTTAATAAATAAATGGCTATGGACTGAAAGGCTGGTACCCTGATTTCCGAAGGCACAGAAAGAATTTTGAGGCAAGTTCAGATTAATTACATGTTTAAGAATGCTACTTTTTTATTGTGTATAAATGTTTGTTTTCATTTAACTGGACTTTGTTATATAAAATTAAATAAAATAAAAAATAAAAAAAGAATGCTACTTTTTTCTCACTTATCACAGTGCATGTCTTTCTTGCCCTAATTTCTACTTTAAAAATGATGAAAACTTTCTGGGCCATCAGGATTGCTCACTGGGTAAAGGACTTGTCACAAAGCCTAACAAAAAATTCACATCATGGAAGGAGAGATCCAATTCTCTACAGGTCATTCTCTTCCCTCCACGTATCCTGTCCACTTTAAAAAATAAAAATAAAAGAGCACTTGTGCACACACACACACACACACACACACACACACACACACACACACACACCAGACAGAGACAGAAAGAGAGAGAGAGAGAGAGAGAGAGAGAGAGAGAGAGCAAGAGAGAAAGAGAGAGAGAACCCCATAGTTGTTAAATAATGACACTAGTTAAATTGATGTACTTCTCAGATTCTGTACTGGTAGACACAAACTATAGATGCAATTATCTGGTGCTAAGATGGGGGATTGCCCACTGCTCCAAATGTTCTACTAATATTAAGAGTTGACATCACTTCAGATCTTCCAACTGGTTTGATATGGTCCTGATCATGTGCTCACATATCAGCAGACTGTCTTTTTTTTTTTTTTTTATGACTGTTCTCTATATCCTTGAGACTTTCTAGCTGCCTGTATTTCTGCTGTCATCCCTTCCCTGGCATCCTTGCCCCTTTGCCTGTTAATTACAGCGTTATTGACAAAGCATTTGCATTTTCTATTTTATATTCTGGTAGTGGTTGTTTAGACTTTATCTATGCTGAGTTTCAAGATATTGTCTGATAATTTCAATGCCAATGAATATAATATCTAGCTTTTATTGATCACCTTCAACATCCCAGACATTTGCTTGACATAGATTATTTCTAATCCCCAAAGTAACTGGGCAAGACATATTTCATTATCCCTTCTTTATAGCTGAGGAAGGTAAGATGCAAGGAAGGTCACATGCAAGTTAGTTCAAATTTTAAATCTGATATTGGTATTATCTCTGCAGTTAAATTGTGTGTTTGGGGGTGACATGGAGAGTGTGTGTGTCAGAGGAAAGGAAAGGACAAAGACAGAGACAGAGACTCACAAAGAGAATGCAATTCACAGAGTGTTTCCAGGGATAGAGGGCAGCAAAGCAGTTCCCTTTACTTTTATGCTCTGCTTTACTGCTATTGTTTTAATTTTAAAGTTTAGGCATAACAGGTCACTTACATAGATACC